CATGAGTGGGCTATAATACATAGGACCTAGGATGTGTAGTGGTGTTTCCTCTTCTGTTTGGCAAAATCTGCAGATTATATATACAAGTATAACTAACACCAACAAAACTTATTTGCTGTACAATATTCCATATAAAAATTTTCATCCTCAATCATAACAACTAGTCAGAAACTGAGTAACAACTCATACAAATAGGTGTTTTGCTGCTTAGGTTCATTCGCTTAAAAGCAATGGTTACCTATTTGTTTGTTTGTCGCACTGAGAACAACAGAGAAATAAAAATGATTTAGGAATCGTATTTCGGTATAAATCCTTTGATTGAATTACTAATGGAAGGTAACTTGTTATCGTATTTAGTTCGCGGAGTCATTGATCCGAGCGCCTAGTAAAAAATAGAAGCAATATTTCAGATAAGTTAATTGTAAGCAGTAAGATTATCTCCAGGGACATTATATTTAGAACAATCCTATTATATATTTATCATGCCAAATCCCAACGAAAAATCATATCATAGAGATATCAGGATAAATTATTGATGTTAGATCGTTATTACCTCATTCATTCATAATTTAAGAGCCACGCTCTTGACGGCGCTGTCTCTTGTCTCCTTATACCTACTATAATGTCTACAAATAAATATTGGATACATAAAATATTTGCTTGCTAACAAAGAATGATAAATAGTACTATTTAAGTATAATCTAAACATCTCGAAACTTCCATTTATGTATAGTTCGTGGTTTAAAAATTTTTAGATTATCACAATAGATCATGTTTATATAACCAAACAGCTTTGATTTATAAACGTCCGTAGACTCTAAATACAAAATTATGTTTTTTATATGAGCGACACTAATCCTATATAATCTCTACGCTAATAGAAAGTATGAAGTCATTGATTTTACTTAGATGTAATAAAATTTAATTACAGTCCCACGTAGTGTACCCACGTCAGCTAATCTGTTATTTATTGAGATACGAAGTTCCAACGCTTCGAATGTACTAAAACCACGAATAAACCATGTAGCTATCGGAACACGAACCGTTTTCATCCCAATAGCATTGAGATATTAATGGCCGCACATTTTTTCAATCAATTGTGGCGATACCACCACACACGCTGGATCACTACTATGCACTTGAGAGTGTAATCACGTATTTTGTTGCCTCGAGTAAATAATCCTATTTTTAGGTATTTGAAATTAGTTTCACAGTAGTCAATTGGACGCTTTTAGAATAACGTGTTAACAAATCAGAACTAAACCAAGTATCTATATAAATAAAAAATATTAACAACTCTTGAAAATAGAAGAAGAATATATGGCATATACCAAAAATACATGTAATATATTTTACATTACATTACATATTAAGAATTTCAGTCTATACATCTATATTTTTCAAATACACCATTTTTGTTCTTCATATTTTACCGGTACATATTACCTCAATTGCGTACACATGATGTTCATACAGCGCTTTCTCTATCAGGATAATTCAATTATACCTCAATGCCCAATGGCCGACAACTGAAGTGGTTTATAAGGGACTGGGGATAGAATATTTCATCGGGTCTATTCCCGCGTTATTTAAATAGTTTATTAAATCCTTTTTAGTCCTAATTTAAGAGAAACACTGAGAGTAAAAGCTAACATCAAAAGTGTGTTCTTATTTAAAAAACGTAATATACTAAATTATATTTTATTTACATTATACATTACATAATAAATTTTATATTACTCTCAAGTATTTTAGAAGTAAGTGTATAATGTTGTATCTGAATGTTACAATTGTTATTGTTTGTTACCACTAACATAATAGATTTATTTATATAACTTAATTGTACAACTAAGAACCTAAAATTAATAACTTTAAAAATATAATATAATAACTAAAATATATTATCAAAAGGAATCCCTTTAGGATTGTTATTTACAATTTCAGTTTTAAAATACAAATATTTTATAATACGTTTATATTTCAAATAAGCATAATACGACAAATCATCTAAAACCCGTGAATTGTTGCTTTCGTTTGATCTATGGGACGTACGTGATGGTAGGCGAAGAAAACAATTACTTTTTCCTATTTCTAAGACACGAACAGAAATTATATCTCTTATCTCATAAATGTCCATATGATGGTAAAATATACATAGTACGAAAACAAATTTCAATATAATATATATATACTTTAACCACTCGAAAATGTTGCCTATAGTTAAATTAGATATTTAGGACACTTTGCTTGGCTACCTAAGCAACTATATGCAATCATTCTTTGTTTTTATATTTTTTTAGTTTCGAATCAAAAATATGAACACAGAAATCAAAGTGCGATTTTTGTTCGTTCGACCGTATATTGCTATGCTATATTTCTAACACTACGATCGTTGTTGATTTGAAATTTTAAATAGACACAGAAAAATACGCTGTAAGTGTAATTTTTGAAAGTTACTTAAATATTAGATAACTATCAGATGGCAATTGTCTTAGCTTTGACGTGATCATGTTTTGAGTTGTAACACTAAAATGTCCGAAATATCGTGGTGGAACTCAGTAAATAAATATAAAACGTGGTCGAACGCCGTGATTTTTACTAATTATACTCGTGAACTTGGCTATCTAAGGGACTATATGCTCTAATCACTATGACTGATTTTTATATATTTTTTGTTTAACCAGTTGGTTATATATTGAATATTTTTTCTTTTTGAGTATTTTTAATTGAATTAGTGCGTATATTGCTGATTTATATTCACACACTTAAACTTAAAATGTTGTTGATTTGAAATTTTAAATAGAGCAACACGCAAGTTTCTTGCACGTTCTTCTTGTGATGAGACAGCTTTCCGAACGAGCGGTAGATTAAAAAAAAATGTAATGACTATTCAAAAGTGCTTCAATGTAAGTTTATTTGAATAAATGATTTTCTATTCTATTCTATTCTATTTAAACTAAAATTAAATAAGATGTAAATACAAATTAATTCATTTCCTTTTTTATTGTTCAGTACATATTATGTTTCTTAGATTCATATAGAACAGGTAATTATGAAAATTTATTTTTACTGTTAATGCGCAATAGCTACTATAGGTAACAGAATAAAAAAAACTTCCATAACTAAGCTACGAAGTACGAACGCTTCAGAGCGTAGTGCGAACTTTCTTTAACGCTACAATAGTTTATCAAGAGTTGTCCCGTTAACTGCTATAACCTATATTTTTCTGCATTGAAATTCTAGAAGTTCTCAAAACTTTTCTAATATAGAAATCACTTGAACGATTTTTCATATTAAATATCTTTTAATCTTAGTTGTGCTTCTAATCGATATCTTAATCCAGCTAAGATTGTCTGAAAGAATTGGCATTAGTGATAAGACCCCCTTTTATACTTGCTTTTATTTACAGCTGAGTTTGCGACTTCGTACCTGTTTAACGATTTTGTTGGTAAGCTGATTAGAACAAAACAATACTAAATTTTAAGTAAAGTTTACCACAATACATTAGTTAAAACCGCACCCAAAACAGTTTAACTTTTTTTATATTTTATAATGCATAAACTCGCTGACAAACTGACTCATTGTTAAGAATCATTATTTTGTGTTCTATTGGGTTCAGTTACATTTTATTAATATAGAGATTGTCTATTTACGTTTTATTGATGATTGATGAAGTGTTAATAAATATATAACATTCTCTCCCCAATGAGCGTGTCCGCCTCAGAAGAGCTTGATTCACTGTAATGACGTTATATCTATTGGATAAGACACACCATTCCGACTCGGGGATATTCTCAGATTCGCCAAATACTAAGAGTACCACTGTTCGCCTCGATTGTCTAGTGGTTTAGGACGCCGATTTACTTCGGTTGCGGGTTCGATTCCTCGCACGCTACATACATTTGTATGATAGTTTATATCGGTCTGGGTGTTTTCTAAGTATATTATGTATATATTTACAAAAAAAGAGTAAAAGAAAAAGTATTTATATCACTTGTTTAGTACCCATAACACAAGCTCTGCTTATCTTAGGGCTAGAATACGTTGTACGAATTGTCCAGGGTATTATTATTATTACTGGTGTAATGTTATTATTATATTTTATATTAGTGATAGAAGACATGTTTCTCTTATCTATATATCGTTAATAACGTTTTATCTTACAGCCGTTAGAATTGCTTAAGTAATGTATAAGTTGAATAAAATCAGTCAAAAAAGTCATAAGTAACACCTCTGAATTCTCTGGCGACATTACAGGCTACCACGCGTGAAATTTCTCACAACTTAGCATCACGCATAAAAATTTACACATTTCAACGCTATCGTAATCTTAATACTAAAAACATCCTTTGTTTCCCGTGGGCACCATTTATATAAAACAAAAGGAAACGGTGAATTTTCGCGTGAGAGACGAAAATTCAGACTGCGAAAGGCCCGTGCGGCAAATATTCAAAACAATTCCTTACGCGCCTCCACAACCGAGATTAAGAAAAGAGATTTGTATTTTTTCCTCGTAAGAATAATGGAAGGGGTCAGAGAGGGCACACACATAGATGGCAAAGGTAGGCAATTTATTCTTTCATAGCACGCACTAATTACTCGAGACCTATCTCAGAGGTTTAACCTGTAAAGTATTCACTCTGTGATGTGTCCATTATTTTTACGAGTTGTTTTTGTTTCACCCGATTAACCCATATATTTGTGTACGAGAGCCTGACGTCACTTTACGTCCTCGATTTTTCTATCAAGCGAGGGGCGTCGGGTCAAATCGGATCCCGCCGGTTCGCAAATGCATAGCGCATGCGTTGAAATTGCGCCAATTTTGCATGCAGCGGCCTCTGCCGGCAGTTCCAGTTCATTCGGAGCTAGAGGAGGGATGTTGTACCGCGCGGCTCCTCACCTCGCGAATGTCAAAAATTTGAAAATGGAATAGTTCGAAACTGGAAGCGGTCTGTGTACTCACTGCCTGTATCGATGATTTTGCGATACCTATCCAACGTTAAGACTTATTGAGTGTTGTGTGTATATATTAAGTTGTGTAATAAATTTAGAATAATAGACATATAATAATAATAATAAAAATGGTATAGTGTAGTCAATCTTAGGTAGTCTGTGCGAATGTTTGCTGTGTCCGCCGCGGTCCCATTCAAGCGGGGTATAACCTTGACACGGTTTCCCGCGCTAGCGTTCCTTGTTTTCCGTTGCACTCTCGCTTGACATTTACCGCAAAAGAGTACTCTTTTGGTAATTAGCGTTTGCTCTATAATTAGAAAGTACTTCAGTTGAAATTCGGTGTTAGAACTTTTATTTATACTGGTAGTAAATAATGTGGCGATTAGTAATGCTTGAAAGGACACAATGAGCGAACTTAGGCGATATTATGTAATTCCTCATAAACTTTGAATATTAAATACGCCATAAAATTTAAGAAGTTTACGAAGATGAACCTCTTGTGACCGTTTCAGTGACGCGAGACATCCTGCTCTATCAAAATGAGAGCTAAAGGTAAGAGTTATATTCAAATTTATGTACTTATAAATATTGATTGATATATATCTATATTATTATATAACACCATATTGTATAAGTGAATAGATTCTAAATAAAACGAGATACTACGTAATCAGAGGCGTTTTAGGAAAATCACATCTGAAAATAAATACTGAAATAAAAACATTCTGCAAGCCGCAATATGGCCAGCATGGTAATGGCAGCATTATATATTAATCTGCAGGTTAAACACCCACGTATTATGGAGAGACACTCCAGCAATGGAATAATATAATGATTTAATTACGAAGAATTACACGTTCTTTCTGTTTTAATATAGAAAAGGCAGCTCTTTTATTAAATCTGCATTGTTAATCAATTATTAAAATATTTCTTTCTATGGATTTTTTCAATTTGGAAACGCGATATCTAACGTATTTTATTTGAAAAAAGAATTTAAATAAATCACATGATTTTAACTAAATCGTTGCTATTAAGCCACGTTGATTAGCATAATAATAAAACTTAATGAAATAGAAATAGTTTATTTTTTAAATCGAAATGGTAAACAATTTTAGGAACCTACTTGATGGTAAATAGTGACAATGGGTAGCTTAGCATATATGAACAGCTCTTCGGACAGTTAACTTTTTTTTATTATTAAAGGTAAGAAAATATTGTAAATACGAAAATTAAAAAAAAATACAGGAGCTTTACTTCAGTCTAAATCATTAGTTCTAAATATCTTTAAATTCTCAAAGAAATTTAAAAGTGATACTCATTGTATAATTCTTGATTATTGAACTTTTGATATCTTATAGAATTGCTATTATATAAATTCGAACTATTCATATGAGATGTATCCAATGTGTATAATGAATAATCAGCTATAGTTTCTTTAAATACAATTTACTTTCTACACTTGTTAAGTGAGATTGCGTAATAAATATCAAAATTATTCCACAGTCTTTTACAATAAAATTAAAGTTAAAATGAATATTTTTCCTTTATGCAAAAGGTAATAACAATCCTTTAAGATCACTCTGACGTCTTTTGATAAATTCATTAAACCTGCTTAAGAGTAACTTGAAATCAACACCAAATACCTTCTACGATCTTCACAGCTCAATTCACTTATAAATTCATCTTAATACAAAGCAAGAATAAGGCGAAATTATATATATTCAAATTATTCATTATGTTAAAGGCTGACTTGCTCTTTAAAATCTTCCTATTGTCTTTGATTCTATTGTATGCGTATATATCTTTGAATTTAATGTTTATTTAATATACCTTACAGATACTACTGAAAATATTATATCATGAAAAATGCTTTTATTTTAACAAAATGTATAATAACTATATAAATATTTATTTAATTAATATAATTACTGTATTTAGTGTACTTTATTAAAATTATTGTATGTAGGTATAGTATATTATAATTATAAAATATATGTTTCAAAAATATGTATAAATTGAGTTTTGGCTTCCAATGGTTCTGAAAAGCGATTTTCTATATAACTATATATTTTGTATAATATATTGTGATATATAATATTAGGTTCAGTCCCCATTTATTCATCAAGAATCAAGTTTAATATCACTTTTTGCTTTCGTAATTAAAGTAGGTCTCACCCCTATCATTAGTCCCATTTTAGTTTATATTTACAAATTATAGTGAGGTGAATGCCTAAAATTTCTCCCAAATACCTAAAATAAAAAGAAGATTATATAGACCTATACAACATGATACATATATATGTAAAACAAATCAATTTATCATAACATTTTAGTTCAACTTTAGTTTAACAACTTAAGTCATAATTAGTCTCCCCATAATACCAAAACCTCCACGCCCTGTCTCTAGAAATCACTCGCGGTGCTTCTCTCTCTAAAATCGGGTAAACAAGTAACTTGGGGGTAGTGTGCAGCCCGGGTAAATTGCTATCGCTCCCCTGCCGTAGGTTTGTACAGGATTGTCACTTTAAAGTTTACAATTTTACTAAGTTTCTATTGCTAGGCAATGAAATATATAAATTGTATTGCCTAACAATTTTCTTTTAATAACATTGTTATACTGTTATATATATTGTATCGGAATAATTTTAGTACGCGTCTCGGTACTATGATTTGAATTATCCAAGTCAGTAAACGCAAAAACGCTAAGGATTTTCTAAAAAATGTATTTTAAGAAACGGAGTAATTTCATCGACAATTATAAAATACAATTTTTTTACTATATACTGTTTCTATCCTTCATATACATTATAATAGATATAGAAGGTATTAATTTTTACAATCTATTTTGGTATCTGCTTACAGACGTAGAAAGTATTTCCTAGAACGATTTAATATTCACTTTAACAGTGGTATCAAATTAGTCAAATCAAGCATATATAACTGGTAATTTAACTTTACAGCATTACATAAAGATGTTTTCAAAGTTATATTGATGTAAGTACTATGCCTGTCTGGGTCTTCGACCTTTAAAAAGCTCCTTCATCTAACCTTTGTCGTTCTTAGATGTCATTTAGCAGTTGGATGTAATTGAAATCAATATTAAGTTACCTTCAACTTATCAACTTACATTGCCTATCAAGAGGTATTGTAACTGATATAATTATGCGTATATATATTACGTATATATATTATATATGATATAGCATTCGGTGATAAAATTCGTAGACGTGTATTTATTTTACAAAGTTATACTACTTTACAAGTTATACTGCGTGGGTAGGTTGATTTCACTTATTTCTGCCGCCAAGTACATAGGTTGTATTAAAATGAGTTCAGACTGTTGACATCTACATATACAGTGCAATTACATGATACACAGGCAATCCTTATGCGTTGCTATTTCTGAGAACTAAGGGCCATACGTAAAAATACTCATACTTATTTTTGTCACTAAAAAAAGTAAATTTGTATTAGCTAGTTATATTTTAAAACGTACAAACATGTCGCTTTTTAATGCTAAAACTGAAATATGATATTAATAAATCTAACCCTTCCTGGAAGAGTGGAATGTGATTTTTTACATGAAGTTTATGACTCTTTCGACCCCTTCTTATACAAAGTCACATTTTGTCAACTGACAAAGTGTGACATTGTACCCTTTAACGTCAATTATATGGTACCTACCTATACCGTAAGGGTTATTCATAATTTATTTGGGAACTGATCAATTCCCAGCAAAAGCAACGTATTAAGAACATCGTGTGTACTTAGACAAACTTGAGTATAAAAACTACTTATAGCTACCACAATGAAAATTTAAATTAAATAAATGCCATGTTAGTTATTTTGGGAGTAGATGTCGTAGTTTTGCATTTAGTTGAATTGTTAGCATTGTCTGGGTTTTTGACCCTAAATACAAAGCTTTTGCCTGTGACGGTGAAGGTTCAAACGGAATCCTAAAACAACTTACTTAGGGTACTTAATTATTTACAATCATTGCAAAGAAAACTTTGGACTATTTCACAATTTTTGTTACACTCATTACATGTTATATTCTTAAACGCGTAGTGCACTTTTACGAATTTATATATATATTTTAATTAATCTGATTTACTTTATAATATCGGCAATTTGTTTCCCATTTATAGGTGGTATCGTTTAATTATAGTCCGTAGGTTTAATGTTCAGGAATGCAGGGATGTGTATACATTAAGCTACCAAGTTGCACTTAGTACTTTACTTACCATAGTAGTTACTAACTTTCATTGGCAATAGACCGTTAGATTTCAGATACTTAGGTAAAGCTAGATATCAAATATTATGTTCACGGCATTAATAGTTAACAATGGTTGTCAATTCATCTATATATATTATACAAGTTTAATAAATGATGTAAAGATTGATATACTTTTAATTTCATTATACAGAAAAGAAATCAAAACACTGAAACATTTATTAATAATATATACAACTAATAACAATAATTTGTATACTAATTCATTTGTATAACTAAAATAAGGAGGTACCAAAATATACATGCCATATACTGTAAATATTATAAGTGAATCAAAAACTTTGGACCTCGTTCTATGACATTTTTGTGGACATGGAAAGGTACAGTTTGTTGGTGTTAAAGTTTATATGGAGAAGGAGTACAAAAACATAATATTTTTATATTAAATTTAGTTTTCAATTAATATAACATTAAGTAAAAAAAATCATACACTATCGTGTATCTTATACACAAACCCTTAAAAACAATTTAATGTTTTTTAAGCACACTTTGCTATTAAAATAATATGAGACATATTAATAACATTCAAACATAAACTTTAAATGAAGTACAGTTGAACTTCCACCACTAAACGATATATAGGTCTAGGTATTTTTATATTTATACACTTTAATTCATAATTTCTATGAAGTAGTTCAAATAATAGATTTTTTAATATACCCCTATCTAGTATTTGATATATAATGGCATATCTAAATTGGGACGTAAGTTAGTCTCTATGTCACACGAGTACAAGTTGTGGTTGATGACACTACTGTCAAAGTTTTCGAGGAAGGTTTACTTAAGAACTTAAAACACTAACACACACTGGATAAATCTACCTGCTATCAATGGATCAATCGATCCGGTTGGAGTTGGTTGACTTGGTTGGAGCATTTGGGATCTAAGACGCACATTATCTGTCAAAATTAGTATAAAATAAAGTCAACCCACATCTCCATATTACTATCTTTTTTTTAAACACAATTGATTATAAACACGGCGATATGTGTGGTCTTTTAATAATTAAATAATTAATGTGAAATATTTATATGTACAATATACTCCCTAATATTATATTATTTAATATTTGACCTGCGTCATCAAGTTTATCTTCGCCTGCGTCACAAACATTTTTCATTGATGCTCCGTATATCATATTCGTCGTAACATGACGATATATAACCTATATAAAGCCTTTTTAGATAAATGGGCTATAAAGAACTTTTTAGTTCGAACCAGTAGTTCGCTTTCAACGAAACAAACTCTTTACATTTAT